TTGCAATTACAGCAAACTGTAACAAGGAACAGTTATTTCTCACGTCGTATCGTTATTTTTAGCACCTGCTGTTAGCAATAGTGGTTAAGTTTCCACGAGCGCGGAACAGTTATTTCTCACGTTATTTTTAGCACCTGCTTTTAGCAATAGTGGTTAAGTTTCCACGAGCGTTCTGAATCTCTCTCACTAGCTGAATGCCAACCCGCATCCCACTGGTGAGTCACTCCGATAAACGGCGAAGCAAGCACAACGAAATTCCCCAGTTTAGCGAATGAAAAGCAGCCAGGGTCAGATATGTCTGGCAGTCTACGTAGCTAAAATGTTATGCTTTGCGGAATAGGTTCGGCCACTGACGCATGTCGTGCAGTCTGCTCCTTTGTGCCTATCCGAAATCCAGGTAAATTAAGAGAGACGGACACGTCTATCGACCACTTGTCTGGTGTTTTTGGCGTAGCTGTCGGCTTTTAACTGCTTCCCAGGGAACCGTGCACGAAGCTGCGCAAAAAACTATAGAGTTTGAATTATCAGAATTTAGCAGTTATGCATTCATTCAGCACTCCAGCAACCAGCAAACCTGTTGGCACCCAACAAGGAGTCGATCTCTTTTGACTATACGCCTATGGCTTTAGGCCAAGTAGCTTTACCATATGCTGCGCGCCGTATAACAATAAATATTGATTCCTGTGCTGACCTCCACCTAAATGGAAAGTCGCCTGAACGTTTGTGGTATAACTGAAAACGTCTACCCAATGCTGTCCTACAAATCATTATAATTGTCCTAAAATGTACGACTATTCGAACTGTTGTGGACCACTTAGCGACTGGGGAGAGCGCCTCTAAAAACAAGTCCTAGATGGAACTCAGCTCCAGACTAAAGGTCATTTACCAAACCACTGTTGGCCAATGATCAGCGTTGTATGCCAGCCGCCCAGCATATAGTACAAGCCATGTTGGAGAAATGAAAAGTAGTTGGTGAATAGCTTCAAACAAATTTCACCTTAGAAACGCGTTTCTGATAGGTACAGAGGAAAACAGGAGAACATATTGTTACAATAGAAGGTCGGTTGCAGATCTATGCACATGCCCCCCTGAAAAGCTTGTAACTGCGTCCTTCCTATGCACCACACACTGCCTTATCGTTGCAGTAAACACAAGATTTTATCACTACACCTGCCATCAGTCTAGCGCTAAGTTGTTGTTACTGGATAAGGCATGCAGGTCTGACTTAGACTATAACCGAAAAATAATCATGGTAGCTACTTGAAGCCAACATAAAACGAATACTGTGTAGTTTCGCATAAACCAACTTTACTACTCATTAGGTTGCTGGAAGCTCACTACCGGTTTATGCTTTCATGCAGTCTGTCAGATAGGCAACGTCCCAGAGTTTCCGCAAATTTATTGTTCTAGTTGAACCCAAATTGCCTGAAATCCAACTGATACATTCATTAAGGTTCAAGGTGGGTTTTCCGTCAAGACCAAATTGGCAAGTATATGAGTGCATTAGTTGAACTATGTAGCCTTCTTCCATCCAAAAAAACAACAGGATTTGGCAGCTACTTTGCATTATTGAGAATATGATACCTATTGTTACATTTCGGTGAATGACTAGGTGACTGTGGGACAGGAGAAGCACCACAAAAAAGCTTATGCATGCACGGCACTCCTTCCGTTACCCTATAGCGTAACCCAGTACAAAAACGCTAAACAGTTTGAATAAGGCTTCGTAAGAAGTGGAGAGGTGTTTGAAGTTTTATTTGTGAATTTTGTCAAATGTAAGTGATACTGTAAAGTCCAAGAGCACCATATCACTGCTCCGTCCTTATTGAGAGCTACCGCATTTCACGAGTTCTCTGTCTTTAAGACTAGCATTCCTGGAACGAATAGTTCTGGATGCACATAGCAATTCTGCCTTTGCGTCTGCAAAAATTGGCAGCATTGAGACACCACAACGAAGGCCGGAAACAGTTTCTAGATTTACGCAAATCAGTCACAACATTTGGGTGAGCTTTAACACCTATTGTGTAGATGTGACTAGTGTTGAGACCAATGTCACAAAAGGATGTGTGACGTTCTTTGATGCAAAAGAGTACCTGGTGCATAATTGACGCGGGAAGCTGTTTGACAACCCCTTGGAGGGGTGTTACTCCACTTACCCAAACCAACTTTAGCGAAGCTCTCCCAGGGTTAACTCCACTCATATGTTTGACCTTTATTGATTACTTTGGAGGTTCAATAGCAGTGCTAGACTCACATAACCCGGCGGCTACTATGTGCACATCAATCGTGGGCCCAATTCGGTCACGTGGCCATTGGTCATCTATAAAGAGCCACAATGCAAACTGACATTTCCTCTGGGGCGCACGCCTTGATTCTGGTCGCGCCCTAGTGCAAGCGCTCCTGAAAATTCGCCATCCTTCAGGCCGTCGCAAGTCAGTAGGTAGCACACCAATCCACTATTCTCAGAAAACTACTAGTGCTCCGCTGTATCCATCTGAGTTAGCTTAACTCCTTTCTGCAGTAAACCAAAACTGTACTGGTTAGGACAACATGAATGAAATATGATAAAAATGGCGGCTTTCAAACCTGCATATTCAACTTCCTCGCTACAATCAAATGACAACTAAATTATGATCATCAGCCCTGATTAATGCAAAGCAATGCATACCAGCAGGTAACTAGTACGATGGTGCACACAAATCCCTCGAACGCCAAAGACTAGAGAGTCTATGAGAAGACATTGTTCTTGGTGGACAATGAAAACTCACGAGATGGGTGAGGCCTTGGCTACCGAAAACAGTTGTATTACAACACTTAGTTTGACTGACTAACCAAAAGCAATGGTCAGTGAAACGATAATTAAAAAAGACGGCTCATCAGCTTATTGGCAAAAACGCCGATTGGAAAGATAAGCCGAACACTTCGAAGAACAATTTAGTTGGCCACCTGCAATACACTCGTTGGAGAGAGTGCATGCAGGTGGAAGGAATGTGAGCCTTCTTTGCCTGTCAGAGGAAGAAAATAAAGTACAAAATACCCCTAATGAAACGTAAGAAGCCGGTTACTCCTAGGTTGAGCATTTGAAAAAATCTTACTGGTGCTATGCAAAGTGGGAAGTGTCTGCAGAAAGGGTTCACCAACAGTCCATTCAGTCTTCAAAAAGGATACGCAAACAGTGTGAAAATCCCTGTGGCTTTGTTCTAGCAGCGTCGAAGATGCTAACCAGTCTTATCCTTATCTGAACACAGAGACCAGCAAATCAATGAAAACCTAGCCGTCAACCAACACTCCTGAAATCATGCCTCAGTTTTACGAGCCGCTACTTCTGACACGTAGCTATCCACGAGACCGTGGCAGGCATAAAAATTGTGCAACGTGTACGCGGTTTCCACAGTTGGAAGTGATGATGATAACGATGACTGGTTAAGGCAAGCACTTGAAAACTCATATTCACCTGTATAATCGCATTTTATCTGTTAGGTTCTACTTTCCGCTAAACTGAGAGCAATGCACTGAGGGCGTTTACGCCGCTCATCCTATTGCGTCCGAAATATACCACTCATAGTCTCTACGAAAACTTGCTCGAAGGTGAAAGCCATAGTCAGGTAAGTGCTCTAGTGCGTGTGAAACTCAAAGAGTGCTAACGGAGGGGAAGACGGATTCGACTTGGACGTTAGATGAGGCGCTGAAATCGTCTATGTTGTGTTTTCCCGATGTCAATCACTACGGATGGCATACCAGATGTGGAGTGTTGAGAAAGCTGTCACATACAAGACTGTGCCATTCTGAAGAAAAAAGTATGTCCTGCACAGGGATATTTGCGTTCGGAACCTTTAAATCGCAGGAACTTAGACAAGAGTTGACTTTCCCAAGAGTATCTAATATCCTGGTATTTTTTTGTTAGAACGACCTGAATAGAGATTTTACGGGCACTGAAGTCCTCCAGATTCAGAGCTTAAGTCGAGCAATTCGACCACAACTTTCGAGTGGTACTAGAGGCGTCCAAACGAGTGGCCGAACTTTTCAAGGAACATGACTCAACATTGTGGCTTTTGGAAAGACGTGCACCTCGTGAATTTATATAGGTGATAGATGGAAAAACTTGTGGTTTGCAAGGCCATTATTTCCGAGGTTGTATGAGCAGTGACGGTTTAGCAAAAATTTTGCTTCTTCGAAAGAGGCTATTACGGAAGAAACTGAAGTCAGCGTACTTTCGACGGAAGATGACCGCGTCATTCCCGTTAAAATAGACTGTTGTACACCGAAGTCGGTGACGTTTACGATGTTGGTTCACTTGCTTTTCGTCTGGTTGTGGACACCTTGGGTGTTTGTGACAAACTGACGGTCAACATTTGGGATGTTCAATTTTTGGTTTTCCACACCCTACGAAAAATCATTCACTTAAAATAAAAATGGGAAGCGCCACTTTGGAAACTCAAGACATCGAGGATTTTGCACATCCTTCATTCCTACGCATCCGCTCACACGAGTTAATTCCCGTGAAGTCAGGTGAATACGACAAGGCATACTGATACTAGGCCACCAATCATCTTTCATTTTTCTTATTTTCAATGAAGAGTTTCATTCAAGGCTGACAGACGGCACTGAAACGCCAGTGTTATACATCGTCAGTAATGATGATGCTAATGTTGGACTATATGCAAAGGATGAAAGAAAGAACAAAGGAGGAAATGGAAGGAACCAGATTTCACACGAGCCTTTGGACAACATTTGGACAACCCAGACAGAAAATTACTGATCAAGCTATTTTCAGCATCCGTAGTTTGGTTGTGAATGGGACCCTATCATGGATTTAGTAATGAAATACAGTCAAAGAATCCTTAAAAAGGCTATGGGGAGGAAGTGTATACATATGACAAACGTAACTACCAAAATTGAGCCGTTATGTAAAGAGTAAAACAATGCAAACAACGGTTGATGGAATTGTGACAGAAGGGTGAGATATAACCCATGAGTGTGTGAGTAAAGAGTTGACTTACCACCTTGTTCATTAGTCCAAAACACAAAAATATTCATGGTCCCAGCTTCCGTAATTAGTTCGTCTGGGCCGTATAACCAGAGGCTAGTATCATATCCTCGTTCTCTGAGAAGCTTTTGCAAAGCTAGTGTGGGCCCATAGTTCCTGCAATACAAATATAGGGGTAGGAAGAGATGCAGGTAATAAAAAGCATGTATGTCAATGGACAGCAATACACCATTAATTGGCTTGCTGGTTTTCAGTCAAGCATAAGGGTCACTATTCAACCGTTAGTTTTGTTGGAGTAAATCCATTTTCACTTTCCAGTCTCGGGCGGGTGGAACCAACACACTTTGGGAAGCATGATGATGTGGCACTATTCGCAAGATACGAAGAGAAAAATTATTTGCGCAAAAAGTCCGAATCTAAACATACGATTAATGAATTAACTGAAATTTATTGCACACTCGCAGCACGGTAGTAGGGCAGAAGTCTTTACAACATAATAAATAGATCAGGTACTGAACAGTGGTTTATTAGCAGTGATTGTAGCCAGGATAGCCTGATTAGCTGAGAGATACAGTGGAAGATATATAGTAAAGCTTGTTTACAGCTACTGCTGATATAATAGGGAGAAAACAGGTATTCCAGAGGTGTTGGGTCCTTGAAGTGTGTTATAATTTGACATTTCCCACCTAACCGAAACTTATCTCAATTTGTAGTCAGCCTCAATTTTTGGTATCAGAGGAGGAATGGCATAGTTAGTGACGCCGGCATAAGTTCCCTCTTGCTATTGATTATAGGAAAGTGGAAACATGATCGAAATTTGTCGAGATAGCCGAGGCCGTCTGGCCACTTGGTGTCCTCCAACAACAGGCCGGCCACAAACTCAAATCGACCACAATGCCATCAAATATCGATGGCGCCAATCAACAACTGACTGCCGGTCTTTTTGGAACACATTTGTGGATTCTGACCACGCTCTCGTCCGGAGTCGCTTC